CCATATCTCGATTAGAAGGGGACAAAAAGAGAAGGGGAACTCTACGGTCTACTCAACATGAGAGTAATGGTGGACAAGACCGGATTTATTACCAAGCCAAAAGATCGAGAAGTAGATCACCTCAACCTTTGAACTCTCCATCTCACAAGGACAGAGCAAAAAGGTCGAGACAAGAGACTTGGGAAACATGAAGGGACCAAAGAGTTGTAAAAGTGAAGGATAAGGACACATTTTCTAATTTTCATTGATATGATGCAGGTCAAACCGCAGAGACAAGGAACAAACTCGGAGGAATGATTCAGACAAACATATGGAGAGAAAGGAATACCAGGTTGAGGACTCAAGTCGAGGAAGCAGAAGGGTGAATGAAGCCCATATGATCGCTAGAAGACTGGAACCAAGACAGGAACATCGAAATTACTCTCAGGTAGAGTCTCCTCGAGGTGAAACTAGGTCCAGGCAGATGACTCTAAATAGAGCAGAGGATATAATGACTTAACGTAACGTAACTAATACGTCACAGCCTGACGGATCGGGTAACTCGAAGAACTATTCAAAGAGACCGGCTCTTGAGAGACTATCCCTGCCATAAGACAAAGAAGGCTCCACAAACTCAAAATCAAGCGCTAAGCGACCGGTACTTGGAAGACTCTCCTTACCAGAAGAGCAAGGAGCTAGACTTATTAACACCGAACCTCGTCTACGTGTAAGAGTCTCTCCCTCTGAAGTTTTACAAGAAGTTTGGATACAATACTCAACTGGACAAAGAGAGGGCATCAGAACCACAATAGCTCTCAGGTCTTCGCCGTCATCAGAGGCAACTATACCGGATATTCTAGTTAGCCGAAGATCCTCTGATGGTCAAGTACCGATTGTAGAAAACAAAGAAGAAGAACCAGCCAAAACTCCCAGCCCGAAAACGTGGAAGCAATACCCTTTAATTGATGCTAGTCTAAAAAAGAGGACTGTCAACAGAGCAAACGCCTCGGCGGCGAAGAAGAAGCTTAATGTTAATACGGTGGGAGACTCTTCTCTCTCTATACATGTACCTCATGTTGGGGTGTTACAAACGATGTTTCAAAAATTACGGCTACAATTCCAACCTTCTGT